CAAATATTTTCTACCATCATGTGGGTTTTATTTTGTGTCCCTTGATATACATTTTTTAAACTATTTATTTATTTTAGAGAAAGAGCTAGTGAGAAAGAACATGAGCTGGGCGCAGGGAAGGAGATGCAGGCTCCCTGCTGAGCAGGGAGCCCGATGTGGGGCTCATTCCCAGGACCCTGGGATCCTGACCTGAGCCAAAGGCAGGCGCTTAACCAACTGAGCCACCCATGTGCCCCTATACACAACATTTTAAAGTTTTGATGCAGTCCAATTTGTTTTAGATTTTGTTGCTTGTGCTTTGGGTGTTCTATTTAAGAAACCGTTGGTAAATCAAATGACATGAAGATTGGCTCCTGTGTTTTTTTCCTAAGGGTTCTAGAATTTTAACTCTTAAATTTAGGCATTTGATCCATTTTAAGTTAATTTTTACATATGCTGTGAGGTAAGGCTTCAGTTTTACTCTTTGGCGTGTAGATATGCACTTTTCCCAACACTACTGTTTTAAGAACTGCTTTCCTTCATTGGATGGTCTTGGTGCCTTTGTTGAAAAAAAAAATCCATTGACCACATGCATATGGATTTAATTCTTGGATCTCAGTTCTATTCCATTGATCTAGTATCTGGCAGCCTGACTGAATTTGTTTATTAGCGTGAACAGTTATATGTGTGTGTGGTGGGGGGGCGCTATTCTTTAGGATTTTGTACATATAAGAGCTTGTCATCTATAAATAGACAGTTTTACCTCCAACTTTCCTATTTGGATGCTTTTATGTTTCTTGCCTAATTGCTCTGTCTGGATCTTCCAGTGGAATGTTGAGTAGGAGTCAATGAAAGTGGATGTCTTTGCCTTGTTCCTGATCTTCGGGAGAAAGCTTTCAGTCAACTAAGCATGATGTTACTTGTGGGTTTTTCATAAATGCCCTCTATCATGCTGAGGACATTCTCTTTTATTTCTACTTGATTGAGTTCTCTTATGGTGAAAGGATGTTGGATTTTGTCAAATACTTTTTCTGCAGCAGTGGAGATGATTGAATTTTTCCACTTCATTCTACTACTCTGGATCGGTCGCTCTTCATATATGGAACCTTTAAATCTCTGGGATAAACCCCACTTGGTCATGATGTATAATCCTTTAATTTGCTGCTGGATTCTGTTTGGTATTATTTATTGTGGGATTTCTGCATCTATATCAGAGGGATATCGGTCTGTAGTTTCCTTGTGAGGCCTTTGGCTTTGGTATGAGGGTAATGTTAGCTTTGTAGAAATCAAAAGTGTTCCCTCCTCTCTTATTTGCTGGATGAGAAGAAGGGGTGTTAATTTTTCTTTAAATGTTTAGTAGTATTCACCAATAGAATGTTTTGTAGTTTGTGTGCTTCTAGGAATTTGTACATTTCATCTAGATAATCCAATTTGTTGTTCAATTGTTCAGTCTCTTAAAATAAACCCTTTTTTGAGTCCTGTCTAAATTTCTCTTAGTCAATCTAGCTGTTTTGACATTTTTTTCCAATTTTTCAGAAAAACAACTTTTGCCGATTTTCTCTACTGCTTTTCTGTTCTCAACTACATTACTCTCTAACATTTTTTTAGGTTTACTTTGCTTTGGTTCTAGTTCATGAAGTGCATCTAACTGACCCCTGGCAATGCCAGCCTCAGGATCACTATCTCTAGGTTATGGCTGACCAGATAGCTGAACACTTACAGACTGGAGTGGCCCAGGCCAGCACCGCCGCCCCCCACCCCCAGCATGCCAGCACAGGTCACCACAGACTCTGGTCTACAGCTGAGCATGATGCCTGACAGTTGACAGGCCAGCCTGGAACTCTGTGGACCACCTGCTGCCTTAGGTACTTTGCTTTCCAGGAGCCTGAGGACTAGCTGACCCTGGCCAAGGAACACAGCCAATGGGCATGGTGCCCTGCCTGCAGCCAGGCATTTCCCTCACCCCTGCACAGCTATGGGTCACTGCCCCCTGTGCCCATGGGCACAACAGAGCACTCGCTCACACACTGGGTCTGATGACTGCAGTTCCCTCCTCATGTCTGCATCTGCCCACAACCCTCCCGAGGGTCCACACTGCTTTGCACTGCTACAGCCTTTTTCAGGGTAGATGGAATCTCAGATTCTACCGTCAAGGCCAATGGTGAGCGAGAGTCCTGTCCGCCCCTCCCCCAGGAGAGGAGAGGCCCCCTTCAAGGACCTCACTCTTCACCAGGTGAGGAGGGGCAGCTGAGTCCCACCGATACTCTCTGGTGCCCCTGCAAATGCCAGGCACCAGGGGTCTGAGACCACAGGAGATGCGGCCAGTGGGAAGGGATGATTTCAGAAGAGGTGAGAGGGTAATTGAATTTTTGTACAACAGGTTAAAAAAAAAAGGTTTACTGATTTGGACAATATTGGTCATAAATAGCAAAAGCTACACTTGAATACTACATCAAAATCCTCTTTCTACCATAGCTGGGAGTTGTGATTTTGTTCTTTCATTTCCTGTGTTTAAATGAAACACAGACCCACTCCTCACTCAGTGGAAAGTCTTGCAGGCTTATCAGCTTATTAGGTGAGAGAAGCGAGGAGGGCCAGCCACATTGCTCTGGGTGCTGAGATACACCCAGATGCCCCTTGCTTGGAGGACACTTCAGTGTTGGGACCCTGGACAAGAGCAGAGACGGCCCCCCAGAATCCTGGCATTTAGAGGTTGAAGGTACTTTCTCAGCACAGCAACCACTAAAACTTGGGAGCCTTTAAAAATAGTGCTTGCCAGGACCGTTTCCTTTCTCAGGACAGTAGCTGCTACAATTGGGGAAGATGGAACACACTCTGCTTCTCTTGCTGAGATTTCTTCTGACCACCGATTGAGAAATTATGGTGTTCAAGATCGAACTCTGGAATTTCCTCGGCACTGAGTGGGGAAAATCATACAAAAGCAAAAACAAAACAAAAACGAAACAGGTGAGAATGTGCAACGTGGCCAGAGGAAGATTATTAGTAAGTGGACTAAGGGCAGGCAGGACTTGACCTCCGTAACCCTCCCCAAGGGCCTCACAGCCAACCCTTTACCTAGATTTATTTTTTTATTATTATGATGTTCAGTTAGCCACTGTATAATACATCATTAGTTTTTGACGTAGTGTTCCACAATTTGTTAGTTGTGTGTAACACCCAGTGCTCATCATGGCACGTGGCCTCCTTAATGTCCATCACCCGGGTACCACATCCCCCCATGCCCCTCCCCTCTGAAACCCTCAGTTTGTGTCCCAGAGTCCAGAGTCTCTCATGGTTCATCTTCCTCTCTGATTTCTTCCCATTCAGTTTTCCCTCCCTTCTCCTGTGGTCCTCCATGCTATTCCTTATGTTCCACAAATAGGTGAAACCATATGATAATTGACTTTCTCTGCTTGTCTTATTTCACTTAGCATAATCTCCTCCAGTCCCATCCATGTTGATGTAAAAGTTGAGTATTCATCCTTTCTGATGGCTGAGTAATATTCCACTGTATATATGGACCACGTCTTCTTTATCCATTCGTCTGTTGAAGGGCACCTCGGCTTCTTCCACCGTTTGGCCATTGCGGACATTGCTCCTATGAACGTTGGGGGGCAGGTGCCCCTTCTTTTCACTACGTCTGTATCTTTGGCTTTACCTAGATTTAAACCCTCCTGGGGTGGTCTCTGACCTCAGACCTCCTTTTCCTGCTGGCTTCTTATCCAGGGTAAAGACTTGTGATGCAGAATTTAGAGCCACAGTTGCAACTCAGTCCATAAGCATCCCTGCTCCCTGTACACAAGGAGTTCCAGCATCCCCACTATGCCTTGCACAACTGTTCACCCCAGAAACGCCCACCCCATCAGGTACACTGTGGTCACTCCTGTCTGGCTGAGGCCTCACGACTGTGTCCTGGTTACGTCATGGGGGTGCAGACTTTTCCCATGAGGAGGCGGAAAAATGCAGCCTGAGCAGAGGGGTGCTACCAGAAATGACGATCCACGGGCAGCACGCACACTGCCTCCCCAGTGAAACGCTGGAATGGTTCCAATCCAGGCGGCAAACACACACGCCCCGAGCTTGCTGGAGTGCCCTTCCAGGTCCTTCCCCAGGACGAGGAGCCGAAGGGCAAGCCAGGCAAGCCAGAGAGCCTCCAGTGCACCTGGTCACAGACTGCCAACATCTTCCCCTGAAGAGACAGCCTGCAGAGGCAAGAGACGGGTGAATGATGGGGACAGTGCTGAGTCAGCCCCTCCTCCCCAACAGCTGCAGCTGGACACACAGCATGGCTCAGGCCCAGGCCCAGTGACTGTGCAGACTGTTCAATGCAAGTGGGTGTGCAAGAGGGGGGCAGAAGCTAGAGCGACACGGAGCAGCAGCTGTTGGCCACACACGGCAGTTCTGGGTGGCTTAGTGGGTTGGACGGCACAGCATGAACGCGCAAGCACCACTTGACGGCGCACCACGGCTGTGGAGACGGGACTGCAGGGAACAGAACGATGCCAAGTTTGCACCTGGCCTGCGCGTGCAGTGCGACCTTGTCTAATAGCACCCAGTGGGTGTGCTAGAGCCAGAATCTCGATGGACAGGAGCAGCAGATGTGAGGTACTGCAGGTGTGCGCACCGGCACCTGAGGGACGTGTGGGATGCGTGGGAGGAGCGAGGACGTGGTAGAGCAGGGGTTCCGGGGGTGGATGTGACAGGACATGTGTGCAGGGGTGACGGCTGAGTAATGCGGTGAGTGTGTGCCGTGGCACGGCTGGACGGCACGCGGGGACGTGTGCAGACACAACTGTCCGACGGCGGTGTGGGGGGGTGCCGTGCTACACACGGGGAGGTTGTGGGACTGCCCGCGGCTGCTGGGAAAGGAGCAGCTGCTGGGCGTCGAGGTGGGCACGGGACAGAGCAGTGTGCCGGCTGAGTCCCTGCAAGCACCGGGGAGTGACTACGTTGGTCAGTTCGACACATTGACTCGGCCAGGCCCTGGTGCCCACTGTTTGTTCAAACGCCAGTCTCCATGCTGTTGTGAAAGCATCCTTTAGATGTGATCAACTCTGAATTTTGCAGACCTTGATAAAGCAGATTGCCCTCCACGCTTTGGGAGGGCCTCATCCAGTCAGTGCAAGGCCTTAAGGGCAAGGACAGAGGTTTCCCAAAGAAGCAATGCTGCCTTCAGACTTCAACACGCTAACCCTGAGTTTGCAGGCTTTGGACCCCAGACCACAAAGTCCACTCTCCCCTCAGTCCCTGGCCTGCTGGCCTGCCCTGCAGACCTCACTCACCAGCCCCCACCGTCTCTCGCTCTACCCTGCAGGTTCCACTTCTCTGGAGAACCCCATTACTGTCACTGTTGAGGGGCACACGGAGTGCAGAGTGGCAAATGAACGGTGCGGAGGTATGCAGCATGGCTGTGGAGCAAGCACCGACTGCTGGTGGCCTACGATGGCCAGCACACGTGAAGGCTGGGAGAGGGCCTACAGGGGGCTCTGCACACCTGGGGCAAGGTCCAGGCCCTCACTGGAGCCTGGGGGGCACGGGCAGTGCTGTCACAAGTAAGAGGGAGATAAAATCATGGGTGCCAACCGACCCTGAGGGGCCCCTGAACGCTGCACCTGTGATGCCTAGGGGCCTGCATGAGGGACAAGGGATGAGGCCTGGCCTGGTGCCCGGACCGTACAGACATCTTTGGCTCCGGATGGGGGTTCAGGGGAGGCACAGGCCAGTAGAGGGACGGCAGGCTCTATGTTAAGTGGTGGTTCTCCTATGGGATAGACACAGAGGTCCTGGGCCCCAGAACGTCCAGCCCACATGGAGGGGCTTGCTCCAGGGCAAGATGGAGACGAGCAGGGGTGTGGTCCTGCTGCAGAGGGGACCCTGCAGGACAAGCCAGCTGCCTCACACTGCTGTGGATGGGAGGCCTATGGGCTGGGATGCTAGTCCTTGCTGAGGGAAGGCTGGGGGCACCAGGAATCCCAACCACATGCTGCCCCCACACCCGAGTCCCCAGCACACTCCGGGCCTTCTGGCTGCAGAGCTCACTTAGCAGGGCCTCCCCACCCACCCCCCCACTGGATGCAGAGCACTCAGCCCTGGCTAAGCCTCGTGAAGACAAGGAGCCCAAACCCTCTACATAGGCAGGGTCCCAGGGATGCCAGCAGACAGCCAGGACAGTACCACACCCACAAGAGCAGGAGCCGCACCTGGGACACCTGAGGCCACAAGGCTCCGTGGGAAGGTGACCTGTCCCATGCCACACAGCAGCACAGAGCTTTATTTCTGGAAGGCGCTGCGGAAGAGACTGCCTGCCTTCCATGCCGGTGCCTCGGGGCCCCGCCTGATGCAAGCTTCATGCCCTAAAGAGAGGCAGTGGCGGCCACGACCTCCTCCAGCTGCTGGAGGAGCTCCGCCGGCTGCAGCGAGAACACGCTAGCGTCCACTCTCTGGAAGTCGGGGTGGGCCACCACGGAGGCCAGCACCTCTGCGATCCGGCTGACATCAAAAGCAGCCTGCTGGGGGCCCAGCCCGCTGCCCGCACTACCCTCCATGTCACCAGGGCCCATCTCTTTCGCCAGAAGCAGCAGCCTCCTTTCAGCGATGATCTTGAGAAAGTGGTAAAACTCTTCAAAATTGATCCCGGAGCAGGACCTCATGATGACCTGGCCAGAGAGGAGCACCAGTGAGGCGTGGCTTGCTCGCAGCTCCAGGCAAGTGTCTGAAGACTGTGGGCAGGGCCCAGTCCCTGAGGATGGGAACAGAGATACCCGGGAGCCAGCCAGCGATGGGTCGGAGTCCTGCAACCTGGAAGCCGCAGCGACCTGCCCCAGGACCACACCGACCTTCAAACAGGCAGGCTGGCGGCTACCATGTCCCCAAGACCACAGCTCTGACCTTACGGACCAAGCCCTCTGAGAATGCAGGCTTCCCTGAGGGCTGGCCCACGCCCTCCCCCCACTGCGCCCTGGTCCTGGTGAGCCCCCTCCCCAGCCCCCACTGCGGCCCTGGAGAGCCCCTCCCAGTCCTTCCCTCCTGCCCAGGCTGGCCTACCTGGCAGTGATGGTCCCAGTCAGGCATAGTGTCCCTCCACTGGCTGACCTCCTGCTGCACGGCCCGGAGCTCTTGCTGCAGGAAGTGCCACATATTGGCCAGGTTACAGCCGTTGACCCAGTTGTGATTGATGGAGATGGTGTCCTCCTGAAAGGGGTGGGGTGTGGGTCCCCCCGTGAGTCCGCACCAGACCATCCCCAAGCCCTGTCCTGAGGTCCTTGCAACCCTCCTCAGCCAGGAAGGGCTGCTCCTGTCTCCCGGTAGGTGCTAGCATAAAGAGGGGGCTGGATCTTTCTGAGTGCACAGCTAACCAAAAGCAGGGCTCCCAGGGGAACTGGGGAAACTCCACAGTGTATAAGGACCCACTGCTGCCCAGGGAAGAAACGCGGGAGGCTGGGAAGAAACGGGCTGGTGGCCCTTCTCCAGTCTGTGCAATCCCATACCCAGGCTCTCCGTGGGATCAGGAGGGGCGCCTGGCCCCCTCTCTGTGGAAAGGCATCTAAGAATGTGTGAAGGGTGAGGAGTGTGCTGGGTAAGCCAGGGGCAGATGAACGGGGAGCTGGACACTCTGGGCTTGGGGTCAGACCAGTGGGACCCCAGGGCGTCTCCCTGACCTGTCTGGGCCACACTGCACGCACACGCGGTGGGGTGTGCCCACCCTACCAGGTTGTGGACTTGGTGGTGCCACCCGCTGGGCACGAAGACCATCTCGCCCGCCTCCTGCGTGAGCTCCAGGGGTGGGCTGCAGTGCTTGCGCGTGGGGTACAGGCGGCTGTCGAGCAGCGCGGGTGAGGTCACGTCGTAGGGCAGGCCACCGTGGCAATCCCGAAGGGCTTCTTCTTGCCCCGGAGGGAAGAAGAACCACTTTTTCCTCCCACAGATGTTGACAGACCAGCTAAAGGAGCGGAAGATGTCAGCGTGGAACGGTGACCTGTGTGAAACCTCCTGTTGGTGCCTACTGAACCAGAGGTGGTCTGGTTCTTCAGAAAGGCTGGCCGAGGACATGGGCCCCAGGGGCCCCAGTGCTCACACCTCCCCCATCTGGGAGCCCCCAGGGGCAAAGTGGGTACAGAGGCTTGGAAATGGGACGCCTGGCAGCCTTCCCCACGCCTAGGCGTCTCTGAGAGGCTCTGACAGAGTGGACAGGGTTGAGGAGAGTGTGCAGGGCAGGAACAAGGCACAGAGAGGAGATTGGGAGGGACGCACGGTACCAGGTGCCAGCAGGCCCCATGTAGATAAAGCGGTAGTCGTCCACATCCAGGGCGTCCCAGTACTCATTGAGCCAGTCGGATGAGAAGTACACGGGCAGGGTGAACACGTCCTCGGCCGAGGCGTCCCTGCAGGGAGTGATGAGAGGCTGGGGCAGGAGTGGCCACCTTCTGGCCCCTGTGCCCCGAGCACGAGATAGCCAGAGGTCTGGAAGGACACGAATGACGCTGAGCTGCCTTCCACAGCCGGCGTCCACAGTGAGGCTGGCCACCCTGCGCTAGTCCAGCCACCACATGACCACAGCCCCAAGTGACCCCACCTGAGCCCTGTGCAAGGAACGAACGCCCGTCATAAACAGAGGAAACGACGTCGGGGGTGTTGTGACGCCGCTTAGATGACCCATGCGGGCGGCACCGCAACTGCTCCAGACCCGTCGCACCAGGTCCGGAATTTCAGCCTCTGGTTGAGCTGGTGCTCTAAGGGCCTCATGGGCATCACTCTGTTCTCCAGAACCTGTGGGCCTCGTCCACGCTCTCGCCGTCTGCCGAGTGGATGCACGACCAGTGGCCCAGGCACTATGGCCCATGTCCACTGAGGTCCTTCTCCCCTACCCCACAGCCCCCCACTCCTCCTGGTCCAAAAGCCTGATCCCCACAACCAGAACAATGGCCCCCCCCTCCCCCCACAGGAGCACACCAACCCAGCCCCAGAGAGAGTGAGCTCTCCCAACGACGCACTGGAACGGCTTCTGGAGTAGCTCACGCATCACTCGTGGTCAGAGGCCATGATCAGGGAGGGCCGGGGAACACCAAACCACTTGTACTGCCCCAAAACTGCCTCTGCAGGATGTCAGACTCCCACTTAGCCCTCGAATCAGATTTCACGTCCCCTAGAGCCGCCTCTGCCTGCCTGGCCTCCCTCTGCTCTGTTTATTCTGGGGTTTCCAGGAAAAATTCGTAATATTCAGTCAAAACTGACCTTCAAACAATGGACAAGGACGTCCCGGGTAATAGCTAGAACACACTTATGCCTATTTGAAGCCCACGCCCACCGTGCAGGAGCACTGGGTCTAGGAGTCCTATGTGCTGCTGGATCGAGAGTCCCTGGGGGCCACAACCAGGGTCTGGGTGTCCCTCATCCACCCCCTGGGGCCAGCTCTCCCTGCCAGACAAGACGCAGTGAGGCTGGGAGCATCCAGGGCATGCTGGTGCGAGATGCTCTTGGATGGGTCCTGGGAATCACAAGGGAGAGACTCGCTGTAATATCCTTAGTTTCCACATCAGCAAAACGAGAATTCAGTCGTTCACTCATTTATACAAAACTCTTCGAGGCCGTACTCTGTGCCCTGCACCAGCTGGCTGGGGTGTGAGTAGGTCGGTCTCTGCTTGTGACCAGCACACTGCCGGGTAGGGGAATGGACACAGAACCCAAGGACCCCCTCTGAGCATGGGAACCAAGCAGACGGGGTGTGGCTGCCCGCGAGTGTGGGACATGTCCCAGAGGCCTGTCGTTGGAGCTCCCAGGGTGGAAGAAGGGTGTGGTCGAACCACAGAAGGCGTCCCTGGACAGGGCAGGCGAGTCACTGGTCCGTGATGTCGGGCACAGCCTTGCTGGGAAGACGGCCGAGAACGTGAGTGAGCAGAGCAGGGTGGTGCAGGACCTGGGGCAGCCGGGGTGAGTCGGACCTGGCCTGAGCTGGAACTGCGGGGCAGCCGACAGGAAGGGCACAAGCTAGGTGCGGCCCGCAAGGGTGGTTCTAGCAGCCAGGACACACGGGTTCCCACCTGACGCGACGTGGCCGGCCCTGCGACGGGGAGAACCTCCAACCACGCCGCAGGAACCAGATTCGTGCACGCCCTGCAATTCCCACCGGGGGGACGACAGGCGGCTTTGTGCGCCCCGCCCCGCCCCCTTTACCTGCACAGGTGCCAGTCCTTGAGGTAGAGGCAGCCGCGCGGCGAGGAGTAGCCCCCCTGGATGTAGTCTTCCCAGTAGCTGATGTAGTCTCGGAGGAGCATGTGCTCCTTGGGGTTGGAATTGTACTCCTGGACCCCGCAGTTGGCCACAGGGACGACCACGTCTCCTGCAACGAGAGGCCGTGGCACGCTGTGCGCCCTCCCCCGGACGGCTGCCCGCGCGCGCTCCGCACTTACCGTAGTTCCGCAGCAGGTGCTCGAAGGCCGGCTTCCCGTCTGGCGTCACCCAGCGCCTGCGGCTGCCCCAGCCCTCGGTGAAGGAGCTGGAGAAAACGCACGGCACGTTGGGCAGCAGGTAGCCCTTGAAGAAGTCGGCGTAGGAAAAGGAGTCCGGGCTCTCGATGAAGTCCACGCGGCCCGGCGTCGCGCCCGCCCCGCCCGCCCCGCCCGCGGGCCGTCCGCGGAGGCGTCGGAAGTGGCTCTCGGCGAACGCGCGCGTCTCCCTGTCCATCCCCGGCCCGGCTTGGCGCCCGCGCTGGACCACAGGCCGGCGGGGGACGCCGCAGCCGCCTCCGGCCTCCCACCTCCCCGCTCTTCAAACGGGGAGATGGAAAGGAAGTACTTGCTACAACTACTTCCGGAGCAGAAGCTGTAGCCGGCACAGGCTGCGTGCCAGCCGGAGCGAGAACCGCGCGGCACAGGCCCCTGGAGCCTGCGATCGGCCCGGTGCGGCCGAGCGGAATCAAGAGAATGCGGCCAGAGTTCCCGCCCGAGTACGAATCCCAGCGCGCCGGGCCCTGGGCGCACGCGCATAGCAGCCTGCGGTCCTCGTTCTGCGCAGGCGCGGGAGCGGCCCACAGCGCCTCTGGAGCGACTGGCTGGTCTGTCCGGCGTCCGAAGCAGCGCCAGACCCGGGTCTCGCCGTCTTCGCATCTCCCCAGGGACACGGG